TTTGGACCGACCGGTGCCGTACATGCACGTCTGCCCAGTGAAGGCTCAAATAAACAGGATGTGCAGCAGCTGGAACATCAGGACACTGACGGTCACATCCTGAACTTCACACAGAGGAAGTGAAGCCACAGTTATCTGGCTGAGCCACTGAGAATCAGTTCATGTTCAGCAGCTGAGACTGATGATCTGGATCATCACTGTCAGGTTTAATACGACTCACTCAGACACAAGCTGGTTAGTTCCTCTCACTCTAACTGCTCTCTTTCTTCCTACAGGTACGGCCAGGGCTGGGACTGGGAGGTTAAATCTTCCATAGACAAATCATGTGAGTAGTGACACTGTGTCTCCTCTTCATCAAACCTTCATCAATAAACTCTGATCTTAAAATGAGCCTGAGCTCATTTCATCCCAACAATCTGTATCAGTGACCTCTGGAAACCAGCTGCGCTCACGTCTTAAAGAACTGCAAGTTACGTTTGGTTCCAGGTGGTCCACGGATCCTTTAACAACCTGACACACTGACTGGTTTCTGGTTTGTGGCTGCAGACAGGATTCCGACCCCTTCGCTGTCTCACACTTTGTTGTGCTGTAGGTTTAATGTGAAATGGATCAAACTGCCATTTTTACATAAAGTGAAACATGTTTTTAAAAACCACAGACTGAGGTCTCTTCTGTCTAAAAGTCTTCTGAGCCTTTGCTGCGGCTCCAAACTGTGTTCAGCCACTTCCGGTTTGCTTTGTCCTCATTGAAGTGTGTCTAGAACCAGACTGGATCCACCTGTGGCAAACTGGGCCGACTGGACAGAGTTTAGAAAGACACACACCAGGCTCTGCTCATCACCTGCTAACACCGTCCCTACAGTGAAGCATAATGGGGGCAGTGTCCTGCAGTGGGGTGGCTTCTCAGTAGCAGGGACAGGGAGACCGGTCAGAACTGAGGGACAGACAAATGCAGCTGGATACAGAGAGGTCCTGGTATTAAACCTGAGACTAGATTTAGTTCCTCGAGTCCTGGACTCACAGGAAGTGCAGTCTGAGCTACTGCTACTTTACTCCACTGCATTTCTCTGACAGCTGGACTCACTGGTTCCTTTTCCCATTCACAGCAATAAAACAACATGTCACCAACAGATCAGTACTGATGTGTTCTTGTCTTGTTCCTTTTCAGCTCTGTTTCCCAGCGGTGACTCGTAGTGTCCCAGCAGAACAGAAACCGGAGTCCGTCCAGGACAGTCTTTATTGACACATAGTCTGGACCGGTTCTGCCCCGGCTGCTGGAGAAACTCTAGCTCAGTCTGAATCTGGACCAGGAAATGTTTCACCAGTGTCTGTCACCAGTCATCGTGGATCATCGGTCCTGATTTGACTCTGTGTCTTTGTGTATTGACTCATATGTGGCTGTAACATGAATTTGTGCTACTGGAGTGTTGTGGAACCCTGACCTGGGCCAGTATAAGTCAGGCACTCACCAGTAAGAATTTCCTAATCTTAAAAAAAAAAAAAAACTCAACATCTCTTCAGTCTGAAACAAGGTGTAGGATTTACTGCAAAAGGTCACAAATGGCAATATCTCTGTTTCTGGTTGGTGAAGCAGAACAGTTTACAGATCTCCTGCAGCATCTTTTATACTCTCTACATCAGGGTTCTGGCCCGCCAAGGGGTTCAATACACAGAAATCACAGTTTTTCGCTCACCCTTTACAGTCAAAGCTTCTGGTGTGCCTGTAGACATCCAATTAGAAATAATTGATTTCCAATGTGATACAAATTTGCCTCAGTGGACTTGGACACATTTTATCAGTATCTCCTGCCAGGGTACCCCAAATTAACAGCCCTAGCTGCAAATATTTTGTGCATGTTTGGGACTACCTACCTTTGTGAACAGGTTTTCTCAGTAATGAACATCAATAAAAAAAAAAAAAAAACTGTGCTCAAGGCTCACACGCCTCCACTTAAATGACATTCTGAAACTGGCTGGTACTCCGGACAAGACGCC